TTTGATTATTCTTATTTCTTTTATAATTTGATTTGGTCTTATTAGGCTTATAAACGTATCCAGGGTTTAATTTCCCGTGTTCCATTTTTGCAATATTCGAGAGCTTTGTAAATATCTCAATGACTTCTGGAGTGCATTTACGCCAAACTTCACTTGCAAGACTGGATACAATTGGAACTTGAAGTTTGAAGTTATCAATGGCCACTTGGAACATGGTGCGAAATATAAAGAATTTATTTGGAGGTCGGGCTGGTTTATCGGGTTGAGTTTTTGCTTTCCTGTAAAAAAATCTCTCACTAATTTCCTGAATTGTAGGTACTGGTAAATCGATTTGTACACCATTTTCTAATCTCACGACAACGAAACATAGCTTTCCTCGTAAGTCGAGAATTGCTTGAGTAACTTTACCATTGGAAAGTATTTGTCCATTATAACAATTATACGGATACATTTTTTGCAATATTTGATTAAAGTTAAAGACATCAATTTATAAATGTTTTGGGACGCGTATCAAATCGTAAAAAAAATGTTGATATTGATATTGTAAAAAGTATATCCAAAAAATTCTCGATTCTCTCATGTTAGAGTTCACATATTAAATCATTTTTGGAAAGAAACAAAATCTATCGTTAAAGATGGAAATCCGGGAGCTGATCTAAATAGATATTTATTATTATTTTCTCATCATTTCGATCCAAAAATGAATTCCGGGAAACTTCCGGAGTCTACCAAAATTATCCAAGTTAGGAATGTATGGAATTGTCTATTTGATTTCTAAACTTATCTTTTATAGGGATTTAAATTACATAAAAAGTATATTTTCTCATAACGTAAACATGATATCATTTTCAATATTATTTATCATTGTTATTCTTTTTTTTTTTCTTTGGATTGACAATTCTTTTATAGTTAGCGAAGAAAAATTCTTTTCGCTGTTCCACTTGAGAAATTATTAGCGTGTGAATATGCATCATAAAATATGTCATAAGCTAAAGGAAATTGGATAGTATGTGATTTGATAGCTATTAAAGAAAAAAATAAACAAATCTGAAAAAAAGGCGATATCTTCTTTCTTGGGTACGGTCAGTCATCACCTTACCCAATACATTTTTCCCGTACAATTGATCGAAGCAGTATTGCCAAATCATCATACGTTTGATGCTCTCGATAAATATATTTTTTAAAAACGTTTTTGACGAATTTTCACGTGACTGCCTTATATAATACTCCGGGTATACTTACGGTTTTCCCGACTAAAGAACTTGATTGGTCCACATATTAAACTGTTTACCATAGATTTTACGAAACTTAATACTTCATAATGAATTCATAATAAAGTATATTTTTAATATATATAATTTATTTAATTTAATTTAAAAATTTTAAAATAAATGATCACGATCAGTAAAATAATTAAAAAGATAATTTAGTTATTATTAAATTGATGTTTTAAGAAAATTTTCTTTTTTAAAGAATTAATTTCTAAAATTGGAATTATCTTTCATGATTATTATAGTTTCTTCAAGTGTTATATTACCGAGAAATCAAAAACAATGCAATAAAAACTTTTTGCAATAATTTTATCAGCTTTTTTGGATATATTAACAAAAAAACTAAAAGTATTTACAAATAATAATTAATCCTTTAGAACCAGTATTAGATATTTATTAAATTAAATATATATATTTAATTAAATATTATATAGAAAGTTTGCTAAAAAAATCAGGCTCTGGAAAACTAAAATTAAGATCTCTTTACATTTTAATCTAATAACATCAAAAATTAAAATATAATAATAATATAAATTTTGTTTTGAACCTAATTTTCCTAGCAAATTTCTATATGTTTTTAAATCCAATATTATTTAAAACCATAATTTTCTAAGATAAAAAATAAATTCTATAAATTATAAATAAAGTATAAATTATACTCTTAAATTTTCAAAATAATTTATTATTGCTATTAGAATCTTTGTTTTTTTTTATTTTTCAATTTTTTTATACATTATGGTAATAATTTTATACTTTATATCAATAATATTAAAAAATTTTATTCTTTATTTAAATTATCAACTTTTATTAATTTAAAATTAATTTTTATAGAATAATCTTTTGAATACTATCAAAAATAAATCCATTATTATAATAATATTAAATAAAAACTAGTATATTTATAATATTATTATTATATATATCAAAGTATTATTTTAAATTAAAAATATAGTATCTTATTATTTTGATTTCTAATTTTATTTAATAAGCTAAGCAAATTTTTAATAAAAAATAAATAAGATAAATATTCTATACAAAAAAATACTTAGTGCTTATTTGATAATTAAAATATATAACATTTTTCTTAAAATAAAAAATTAAAATAATCTAATAAAAAAGAAAATATTAACTAAAATTATTTTTTTATTTAAATTATTTTTAATATTAATAATATTATATAAAAAATCTTTACTTTAAAAATTTAACATATTTATAATTAAAATTGTTTTTTTTTATGAATTATTTTAAATTATTTATTATAAAATAATAATTAATTATTAAAAAAAAATTAAAAATAGAATATATATTATATTTATAATTATTATTAGTATAAAATATATCTTTAAAAATAATTTAAACTAATTTCTATTTTTTTTTAAAAAAAAAATTGCATTCTTATTTAAATATATATATAAACTTTAAAATAAATTAAATAAAAAATTAAAAAGAAAATATATTTTTTGATTTTACTATAATTAGATATTAATTTTTTTTTACTATTCTTAAAATTTTAATATTTTTTTAAAGTATAAAAAATTTTCTTTTACTAATTATTAAATAAAAGGTAAAAGTTTTTTACTATTTTATTTTTAGTTTTATTATTTACTGAACTTTATATTATAGTAATAATCATAATTATCTAATTATCTAAAATTATGCAAAATTATTATATAACTACTTCTTAAATATTTAGAAATTTAATGTAATATTATATCTGATCACCAGTAAATTTATAGTATTAATAATTTATTTTAAGAAATTTAAATGATCATCAAAACTTTCACTTGAAAATAAAGCTTTTTTTAAAAAAAATAATATCAAATTATCTTTTTAAATAAACATTTAACTAAATTAAGTTTAGTTTTAAATTAATTATTAAAAAGATGTATTATAATAAATCTATAATTATTTATTAAATTAAAAAATATTATCAAAATTAAGATCTAG